ATGTGAGAAGCTGTGTTCAGTTTCAGTGAGTTTTTTTTTTTTTTTGGAGATTCTTTCAATGTGTTTCCCATTTCATGATGGGTAATTTACGAGTGCACCTGCCCACACTGCACTGAGTGTTCAGCAGTTTTTGACCCCAAAACTGCATTACCCCCATGCCCTACCTTCCCTATTTACTGAATCTCATCCCAAGCGATCTTTTTTTGGTTCCCTGTATGAAAAAAGTCCTCAAAAGGAAATGTTTTGCTGTTGTGGAAGAGGTGAAAACAAAAACAAAAACAAAAATGGCAGAAGCACTAAAATGCATCAAAATTGATGAGTTCAAAAACTGTTTCGAGCTATGGAAAAAGTGTCTCCATAGGTGTATCACATTAAATGGAGAGGACTTTGAAAGTGACTGATGTTTAAACATGTGAGAATAAATACACAATTTTTATAAATAAATTCCAGGTTTTGGGGTGCCCACTCATGTATATACATAAACACACACACACACAGACACACACACACTCACTCTCTCTCTTTCTCTCTCTCTCTCTCTCTATACCATATATTTCATAAAAAAGGAAATTTGCCATTTGTGACAAAATGGATGAACTGGGAGGACATTTTGCTCAGTGAAATAAACCAGACAAAAAAAGCCGAATACTGCATTACTGCATGATCCACTTACATGGCTGAGAGTAGGAGAAATGGGGAGATGTTGGTTCAAAGGTACAAACTTTCAGTTATAAGATCAATAAGTTCTGGGGATCTAATGTACAGCATGGTGATTAGAGTTAATTATGCTGTATTATATGCTTGAAATTTGCTAAGACAATGGATTTTACATTCTCACCACACACACGTAAATAATGGTGACTATATGAATTGGTGGATGTGTTAATTAGTTTGATTGTGCTAATCATTTGACAATATATAGTTTATAAATAATCACATTGTCCATCTAAAAGTATATAATTTTATTTGTTGATTAAACCCCAATAAAGCTGGGATAAAACCCTAAATATCCACTGGTTCACTGACAGATGAATGGATAAAAAAATGTGTGTGTGTGTGTGTGTGTGTGTGTAATATTATTCAACTTTTAAAAAGAAGGAAATCTTGTCATATGCAACAACATGGATAAACCTGGAGGATTATGCTAAGTGAAATAAGCCAGTCACAGAAGGACAAATACCTTATGATTCCACTTATAGCTAAAGTAGTAAAAATCATAGAAGCAGAAAGCAGAATGATTGTTGGCCAGGAGCTGGAGAGAGTTGCTATTCAATGGATATAGATTTGATCATGCAAGATGAAGACGTTCTAGAGATCTGCTCCACAACAATCCACATAAAGTTAATAATACTGTATTATACACTTAAAAATTGTTACAGGGGTAGATTTCATGCTGTGTGTGTGTGTGTGTGTGTGTGTGTGTGTGTGTGTGTGTGTGTGTGTGTTTAACAACACACATAAAGAACAAATCTTGCCTTTACTAGAGCAAGGATTCTGAAGTTAGGGTTCACAAGTCTCAGCCCAAATTACACACAACATTTTGTGATCGTGGGTAGCTTTGTGGAGAAGAGAGGGCATAGCTTTTTCTAGAATCTCAAAGGGTTCTTAATTCAAAAAGGAGCTAGAGGCACTGCTATGAGAAAAATTGTATTTAACTTGAGTTTACAAAAGCTCCAGCTAAGGAAGCTTAAGAAAATAGTTCAGGGAAGGACTGCTTGCTATTTCAGTCTTCTTTCTGTCAATAATGTAAACTTGTCAATAGATTTTTAATGAAGAAAAGACTCTTGAGAGGATTTTTTAAAAATGAGGTAGAAGTACCCAGCCTGGTTTTAATTTCTGTCTCTCTGTTTCTACTGATTGGTCTTTTGCCAACCTCCTCCATCTGCTCCTCTTTGGATCTTTGTTATCCTCTTGACTTTTGAATATTAGCATAATCTTTTAAATATTAGCATAATCCAGTATCCTACCTAAATCCCTCTTTTCTTCTCATTCTGATTTCCCTGGGTGAAGTTATCTACTCCAAATGACTTCCATTATGATCCTAATCTGTGGTGTCAATCACCACACATTTCTCGACATGCACTTTCCTATTTCTATCTGCCTACTGAACTTTCTACCTTTTCTCCACAGGCAATTTAACATATTTTCGAGTGAATTGAACATCTTTCTGAAGGCTCCAGTGAATGTAAACACAATCACACATACATATACACAGATAAATATATATTTTAAGTGTTCTTCATTGCTTTATTTTCACTTGGTTCATCTTTATCATCAAGCCTTTGTTTGCACATATACTATGTTTAGGCAGTTGCCAGGAAGCAGTCACAAAATATGCAAACTATAGAGGAACTTTAGAAGTCAAGTAGCAACTCCCTTCAATTTATAGAGAATGGGAGTGACTTGCTTAATATCACACAACTAATTAATGGCAGAACCAGCTTAGAATCTAGGCATCTCAAGTTCTACCTAGTACCCTTCCCACTACACAATCATGCTCCCATGAACTGTACTTCTAAGAAAGAATGAGATGCCTGCTAGCAGCAGTGATTTTTATTAGTAAAGAATCAAGATGATCTAGCTGTCTCATGTTCAAAATATCTATTACTTATATGCTGTTTGTACAAAGGACTAGGTAATTTATGTTCATCTGCTGTAATGATGAAAAGAATAAACTGAAGAGTTCAACAAGACATCATTGTGGAGTAAGGCTTGGAATGAAAATAGGTTAGTTAAAGTTTAGCTCAATGCTTGCTTTCATAATAAGGTTGTGAGAATTTTTACTTTTTCCTTACCAAAGTGTTTTCATATGTATTATTTCATCTTAGTCTCTCAACAGGCCTGGGAGGTAGGAATGTCAGGGCTTATTAGCTAAAGTTTACAGATGAAGAAAATGAGACTGAAAAGAGTTAGCTCAGTGATTTGCCCAAGGTCACCCATCTAGTTAGTGACAAGGCCAGGGCTCAGATGTGTGTCTCCTGCTTCCAAATCTCTTTCCTCTAGTCTAGACACATAATTCTAGTAGTCCTTGAGTGATGACTACATATCCTGTGAACTGAACTTTACAGATTTCAATATGCTGGGACTGAAACATGCTGAGTTCTATCAAGTGACAAATATAGAAATCTTATTCCCCCTCCCTCCCCTCAGAAAAAACAAAACAAAAAATTCTTAGCTTCAAGGTGGGGCAGAGCATATGAATGTTATGACATAGGTTGACACAATTAAGAATCAGCAAATTTAATTGCCATTTTCTCAAATTTTCTGCTTTCTATTAGGGACAATACAAAAAAATAAGCATGATTAAAATGATCTTTGTAGTCGTAAAAGCTTAAAAGATCAAGGGTGGTTTCTCATGTGAATCGTCTCAAAGGACTTTAAAAAAGAAGGCTATACATACTCAAACTACCATTTTATTAAAGAAAAGTCAGGGCAGCATCATATACTGCTGACAGTCTGGGGTGGGGGCCTGAAAAGAAAGGATTGATGGGGGTAGGTCTGTGAGAGAGGTTTCAGTGGCCTACTGGGGCACAAGGCAGGCTGCAGTGTGTTGAGTTAGTGACAGGTGAGGAAATGGAAGCAGAAGCAGAGCGTGGAAACCTTGACCACAGAAAGCTGGCTGTGAAGGAAGGGGCCACAGTGTGTTTGCTGGCCACGAGGAAGAAGCTGCATAAGAACAGAGGAAGAGACAGAAAGGGCAAGAAAGAGAGGGAACATCCTGGTGAGTCACAACTGAGTTGTCAACACTTTGCTTGCAACTGTGAAGCCCTTTAAAAACTCCCTGCCCTCGTGTGGCTCCAGAGAAAAAGCCTCAAAAAGAGAAGATAACCTGCCCAGGTGAAGGCTGAGAAATCAGCGTAAGATTCAGCAACACATTCACTTTTCAGGACTATTATTGTGGCTGTTCTGTCTGTTCTAAAAGCCCACCTCTGAAACTACAGGGCCAAGCTTGAACAGATGAGAAGACATGTTCCGGACCCAATCTAAAAGTTGATTCTTCCCAAAGGCACAACATTATTAATTGGCCAGTTTACCAATGGACTCTCTTTCCTGTAGGTTTGTTTAGAGACAATACCGCTAGTCATAAAGTTTGCTGATTCCTGGCTTGGTCATCTTAGCGCAGCAAGTGCAAGGCTGTGCCAGGAACTCCAGATGACTGGAACATACACAAGCACAGTGCTACCCATAGACGCCAGCGCCGAGCCAAGGGTGCGGCTGAGCCCAGGCAGGGGGCATCCTCAAAGTGCTTCTTTATTTAAACTATGCTCCGGGGTAATGTTTCATAACGACCCCACACACCTAGTGCGGACACACAGAGCAGCCTACATACACAGCCCCACTGTGTTCGCTGGCCTGCTTACTTTACTTTCCAACCCTCTAGGCAAGGTCCACAAATTAGCAGCCTTTTAACCCTCCCAGGTCCTGGTTCTTGGGACCTTCAGCAGAAAAAGGCCGTCAGAGAAACATGAACGCGCTAATCAGGAAACCAGCGTTTCAGCCCACTCAGCCACGCGGGCCGTCCACACTAACGACTTTCACCTCCCTTCGCCTGGGCTGGCTGGAGGGGCGGGGAACCCGGCAGTAAAGAGGAGGACCAAAGAGAGGGCCTGCTTGAATGAAACAATGTAACAATTGATGTGAGGCCTCGCCTCGCTCCCACTCCCCAGCGATCCTATAGGCGAGGTCCCAGGGACTGTCCCTCCCCATTGCTCCGTTTTCTTGTCCATTACATGCTATCCCTCCGCCTCTCCTTCTTTCTTTTCTTTTCTTTTCTTTTTTTTTCCTTCTCCTTTTCCCCCTCTCTCCCCCTTTCTCCAGCTCCGTGTCATTTCCTCCTTGCGCTCTCTCGCTGCCCGAGCGTCTCCAGCCGGGAGAGTAGGCGGAGCAGGGCGGTGCAGGGTGGCGTAGCGCTGGAGGGCGATGGTGTCGGAGCTGCCGGGGGCGGAGGCAACGTAGCCCCCGCGGAAAAGGAGCCCGGCGGCGCCTGAGCCGAGCCCAGGATGGAGAACCGGCCTGGGTCTTTCCAGTACGTCCCTGTGCAACTGCAAGGGGGGGCACCCTGGGGCTTCACCCTTAAGGGGGGTCTGGAACACTGCGAGCCGCTCACAGTGTCTAAGGTAAGAACTGGCGGCTCTGTCCTAACGGCGCCCAACTTTGAATGGGCCAGCGGGTGCACAGCCTGCCGCGGGATGGGGCCCTCAGATCAACAGGGAAACTTGGCCAGGGCTGGAGGTGAAAGCCCCTCTGAGGGGTCACGCCACCCGTCCAGGCGCAGACACCCCCTAAGGGTGGCTGGATCTCAGGATGGAAGCACCGCTGGCCCCTGGCTACAGTCTTGCGTGCAGACACACTCGCGAGGGCACTGGGGCAGCCTTTGCTCCCCCAAGTCGGGGCGGCTACTCCCCTGAGTTTGGGCTGGAGGAAGTGGCGGCTGTTGGGGATTTCTCCTTGGAGGCCCCTGCGCCCGTACGGGACAGTGAGGGACTGAAGGGACAGGCAATGCGGCTTGGCAGCTCTCTTGGCAGCGTTAGTCCCTCCATCGACGGGCGAGATGCCCCTCTCAGGCAGGTTGCAGGGCTAGGGGCCGGTTTGGGAACGGAGATGAGGCATTGGTGGCTTTTGCCAGCTTCACTTCCCACGGCCGGACGCACGCACGCACATCCATTCAGCTCTCCGGTGCTGCTGCCAGTTCGACTCGGCCTTTCCCTCCCTCCGGAGTCCTGCCCCAGCGCCGGCGAAATTTCCTGCACGTTGAGAAGTGTGGAGGAAACTTTTGCGCCATGCAGCTGTGCTGGAGCTGCCGCCGCCGCCGCCGCCGCTGCCGCCAGGGTTTGTTTGTTTTAGGAGGCTGTGATCTGCTGGAAGCCAAGTTGCAGTGGAGGACAGGGGAGAGGAGCTCTCCCGAGTGCTCCAAAACCCCCAAGATGAGCCACCCCTGTAGAAGTAAGGGGGAGGGGTGGGGGCAGCTGGGCTGTTACTGGGAAGAGTGACTTGTGGGACGACTCACCTTGAGGTGCCAGATTGCAAAGTGAACGAACTTCACGAACTTTATCCCATTTTTGTTATTGTTGTTTCTCTTAAATACTCAAATACCGAAAAGCTTTCCCTCTTCCAAGCTGTTCAGATGGCAGTTGAGGTTGTAGATGTGGATTTGGGTTGGAAGTAGAAAGATGTGTCTTAGTAGGGAACAAATGTCACTTTTTTTTTTTTTTGGCTTTTTAACTTTGGTCACATCTCAGTGGGGTGTTGGGCAAATGTCCCCCCATACACACATTCACAATAACCTGTGCTGTTTTTGCCTTGCACTGGAGCTGCCAGTCAACTTGTAGTGTAGGGGTCCTTCAGGCCTTGAAGCCCACACTCTTAGCAACCCTGGGGTGCTGCAATGGGGTGTGTCAATCAACTTGAGCAGTCTGAGGTGTGCTGCCACAACATTTTAGGGAGCTCGAATCTTTAGTCTCTTCAAACTAGCCCAGATCTTCATCCAGCACCCCTTCCCCCATACTTGTCACATATTTTTAACCAGCCTGAGATGACTTTGTCATCTACCATCACACTCCCTCCTAAGGCACTCTTCTTCCTGTGTTCTCTGGAGAGAGTAATATTTTTTGTTGTTGTTTAAACAAAAATGCTCTCAAACAACCCCTTTGGGGAGGGGAATCTTGACCTTCAGGAATTTCTTCTAATCAAACTTCTCCTCTCCCCCCTCTTCCCACCAAGGTCACAATGGGATATGCAGCCCTCCATGGTCTGGCAGTTCCTCCCTTTGTTTTCCTCCTCACACCGCCCACAGAATTTCCACAGTTGGCCTAGACAACCTGCCTTGGAGAGGTCATTTTTTTCAGCTCTGCCCAGCGCTGACCCATCCTGAGAGGCACTCCAGAGAGCTTGCTTGCTGCTGTGGTCCCTGATTGTTTTGTGAGCCAATGCGAGCATGGCAGGGGGTGTTACTAAGTATGGGGTAGCCAGCAATTTGTGGTCTGACTGGGGGATTATTTGAGGGTAGATGAGGGTTTTCTTGACCAAGCTGTTGAGGAAGTGCCTCGTGTGTTGAGAGGCAGGGTGCCTTTTAATTATTCCCTTTCCACTGAATGTACAGTTGACCCCTATTATATGAAGGCTCACTATTACATGCATTTGGATATGTGGGGGGTAAAATAGTTTCTTCCATTCCTCCAAAATAGCCTGGTTCTTTACAGTAAAATCCAGTTATACCCTGGTTATTCCCAACATTATATAAAGGGACTATAGTATTTTTTAACACAGTGGTTGCTTGCATTTTTTTTCTTGACAAGACACCCTTTGGCATATTTCATCAATTCCCTTTTTATTTTTTTACTTTAGTTTTATTTCCTTTTATGCTTCAGAACAATGCAGCTTTCTCCTTAAAAATAGCCTTCTTAGTCTGCACACACTAGTGGGGATGGGGTGGAAAGGAGTAGAAAAATAATTGGACTGGAAGATTGAAAACTTGATTTCTGATCCTTGCTCTGCCACTCTCTCTAGTTCAGGAATCCTAGGTACATCACTTTCCCTACCTGGGCCTAGGCATCCCATGTCTAAAATGAAGTTCAAGTGCGTGTCCTTTTAATGACACTATGACATTCTAGTAGCCAATCCTTTATTCTAGCTTTGAGTCTCTTCTCAGAAGTGTTGCTGCTGCGTGAGGAAGATGATACTCTGTTTCATCTGCATACAGCGTTACTATTTACAGCATGCTTCTACATCCCTTATTCTAACATCCTCTTACAGCCATACCGTGAGGTACTCAGGGAAGGTTGTGGAGAAACTGATGGAAAAGTGATACTGTGGTATAATTAGTGGATTGTTTAAGTCTATCATACAGTGAATCAATGGTAAACTCCAATTCCATTGTATTTTCTGCTACTCAGAGTTTCCCAGTTCTTCTGTAGTTTAGTGCTGCAGTTTGTGAAGGAGCATGGAGCAATAACTTTCAGGGATGCATCCAGTTTTATTAGCCTCCTACTACTGCAATAGATGAGGACTGATTTGTAGGTACATCCTAATGGGATCTGGGCTCAGAGAGTAGGAGAGGACTATTTTGGTGACTGTAGTCACTTAGGATGACCTCAGGTCAGGTAGAGGAAAAGGTAAGATGCAAGAACCATGGTGGAAAATGGCAGAGAATCCCCTTTGGTGTTATGGGAAAAAACAAAAGTAATTTGAGTCAGATGGTGTGGCATATATGCTTGGAGATTCCTTGTGGAACAAGTGGAGATATCTGGAGAGTGTGGGAATTTGAAAAAATTGATGAGTGGGAGAAGAAGGCATGCAGTGGGAAAGTCTAGCTTGTATTTGTCATGGATCTTTGGACCAAGAAATGATCAGAATGAGGGAAATCATCAATTTCTGCCAGCTGCTATGATTTTCCTGGATGTGATAAATTTAGCTGACTGATTTATGGAGACTTATATAGTCTTCCTCTGACGATCAAGTGGCAAAGAAAAAGAAAATGTTTTTTAAAATACTATTACTTGGTGTGGTACAGGCACACGCCTGTAGTCTCAGCTACATGGGAAACTGGGGTAAGAGGATCACTTGACCCCAGGTGTTCGAGGCTGCAGGGAGCTATGATCGGGTCTGATGAGAATAGCCACTGCACTCCAGCCTGGGTGACACAGTGAGACTCCATCTCTTTAAAAAGTACTGTTGATTATCCTAAGTGTTAAGGGATGATTTGTGATTTTTCCATACATTGTAGTATTCCCAGTAAGATCATGATAACAGGCTCATCCTACATATTTGCTCTTTTCCTGGCTCATTTTTGGTAGACATTTCCATCTGGCACTGTGAAACACGTGGAGGTAAAAGTAAAAGAAACATGGCCCATGAGAAAATGGGGCCCATGACCTTGGTGTTACTAATTCCTTTGGTTCGCATGTTATACTACTTAAATGGTTCAGGGTGCCTTTCTGGAAGGAATGGGGATTCTCTTCTAGTCAGATATATCTGTTTTGCTACCTAATGTTTCCCATCTTCATTGTAGATAGTCATCCATGAAGTTAATTCCCTGTGTTGGAATAAAATCCTCTTTGGGGAGGGGTTACCTTTCCAAGGTTCTGACACCAATGATTCTGCATCATATATGGCCTCTCCGAGGCCTCAGAGATTCAGATTGCATCCTCCTGTGGTGTATGAGTGTGTGTGTGTGTGTGTGTGTGTGTGTGTGTGTGTGTGTGTGTGTGTGTGTTTAAGAAAGAAAGAGAGAGAGTGAGAAAGAGACTGTCTAAACTGTAGTATGAGGTTCCTATACTCATTCTGGGTTCTTTGCATTATGCCCCCAGAGTTCTTTGAGGCTGGAGAAAGAAAGGGTGGGACCAGCACAGAGATGTAGGAAAAGAAGAAGGAAGAAACCTGGAAAGAAGGACAGTGCAGGGCAGGGCAGAAGGCAGGCACATCCTACATATTTGCCCTTTTCCTGGCTCATTTTTGGTAGACATTTCCATCTGGCACTGTGAAACAAGTGGAGGCTAGTTACTGCCCTGGAACAAAGTAGGGTGGGGTAGGGGAGTAGCCTAGAGAAGAAAGAAGCTTCACTTCCCTTCACTTCATGTGCACTGATGTTGCTGTATCATTTTACCCTCTCCAGACCCAAGTCTCTATTTGCAAAATAGAGGTAGACATATCTGCCACGTCTTTGCTGTCACAGATAATGTGAGAATAAATTGGACAAACTCTAATACTGTTTGCTGTCCTTAACCTGGGGTAATGACAGGGCATGCTCTTCAAGTTGTTTTTAGCCCCTCTCCCATCCTTGTCTGACCTTATTTCTAGAAGCACACAAAGAAGCAGTTGAGTCTTAAAGAGAATCTAGATAGAGTCAGATTGAGGTTATCTTGAGACTGGTTGTTAATATGAATGCGAGTTTTGTGTTCTTGTCAGGTGCAGAGGTAGTATTATATTATAACAGTTACTGTGAAACCTCTTTAACTGTGTTACAGACCAGGTCCACCCCCAGACCAGGGCCTGGTACTCACATAGGAATTGTCATGGACTGTGCTTCTTCAGACCTTAGTCCAACCTGGTTACTCACATGAATCTCCTCCTAATTTCTGCCTCTAGAATCAGCAAAGATATCTACTACTCCAGTTCCCCA